GTATCCATTATTGCCCCTAAATCACTCCCCTTCGAGACGTTTTGTCGAAAATGGTCAATGGGAACATATGAAAATAACCTTTTTATGTGTCTTCAATAAAGTTTATATTCTCGAGACAAGTGACTTATTTGCTATTGTTATCGTAACGTAATATACAGATTATTACAGTGTTTCACTAAATATAAAATCAGGTGGCTAGCAGTATTCTATTATATGTAATCACAGGAAACTATAAAAAAAAATGGCTGCTGTATTTTCCGAGCGACTTCTTTCAGTTTGATAACACTCACTTTTCTGGACCTTGCTGTAGCAGAATTCTGACGGTATTTGAAAGCTCAAATTTTTAACTCACAACCTACCCGACATTAATCTTTAAAATGCAACTCGTCAAATTATGAACATTTCGCAAGAACCCAGGTACATGCCTAGGTGACACTGCGTCATGTCACCTACGCATGTACCTGGGGCAAGAATCCGCCTTGACCGTCATGGAAGACACCTCCAAGACATTGCACTGAAGATGTGACGACCGTTTTATAAATCTCAAGTCACTTTTTCCATCAATGAGGCAGCTGGTACAAATGGGAAATGTGCTTATCAACTAATTATGCTATACTGATGGTTCTAATTTACTTTTTCTCGTCAAGAACATGTCCCAAGGGACTGAAACCGTGACGTTAAAAAACCCTGTTTAGCTGTATTTATTGCTGTGTGCAATACAGTAGTTATTCAGCTTTCAAAATGGCTAACGTTAAATGCTGCATCTAAAGAAAATTTTTAATTTGTCCATCTGCATTTCAAGCTCCCAATACATATTTATTTCTGTACCTTAACAGAGAGAACTTAAAAAGTTTTCCTTTCAGAAATATCGAAAGAAGATGAGTTTGAATTCACATTTGGATTACGAAAATCCCGCAAGTTTTTGACGATGCCATTGATGCAATATCATTATTTTGCAAACGTTCTCGTAATCTGATGACGAGAATTTCTAAATTTCGTTGCACACAACAAAGAGCATGTCACTACGATTGCATCACGACTCAAATTATCTATTCGTCTGCAACCGGTTTATTCTACCCTCATGTGACCCTCATAAAAAGAAGTGCCTGGTGGATAATCTTGATTGTTTTAACGACCTCGCAGTTGAAGAGCTAGAAAGTGGTTTTGCATACAAAGGCGTTAAAAATTATCAAATCAGATTTCTCGTTATTACTGAAGTAAATTAGCTTGCAATGATATTGAAAAACGCGATTCTAGATCTTCTAGATCACCATTTCTAGAAAAAACACGAGAGTTTCGGGCTAGCAGGAATAAAGAACTGGCTAATCATGAATAACATTTTCCATCTTTTTATAATTAATTTTGGAATTTTACTAATGTACCTTTACTAAATTATCATAAATTTTAGTACTAAATTTTACAACCTAACCCTAACTTTACCATTTTTCTGATTTATTATACCTTTTCAACACAGTTAATTAATGATTTAAATTTGATTGCCTTAGTGAATCCCGATTATCCATCAGATTTAAGATCACCGCCATTAACGGGTAAGAAATTTGGTACTATTCTGTTTCGAGGGCCGTAAAAATCGCCAAATGCTACCAAAAAGAATTGTGGCAACCCTAATAATTGCGGCAAGAAAGGAAGTATAATTGTAAATAACTATCTAAGATTGATGTTTCAATTTAGATGAAAGGTTAATTTCATATAATACTTTTTTATTCGGTAAAGTACAGAAGCGCTCACTTATTTGTTTGCCGCTCACTTATTTGTTGCAATTTGTCAATTGGATTTTTGTCAATTTTCTTTTACTTTTTACGTGAAAATAGGTCGATGTGTACATAGATAAAGTCAAGGGTTAGCGCAATGCCATTTTTGTGCAATTGTAGGGATATTTTTTTAAGTGAAAATAGGTCGATGTGCACATGGATACCGAGTATGTGCAATTCTTAAAAAAGCGTCAAGCAGTGGGTGATGATTCTGCAGTTCACCGAAAATTCTATTGCCGACTTTTCGTCATGGGCAATTCCCAAATTGTTAAATCCGTAGGATATATTAAAAAAAAAAAAAAAAAAAAAAAAAAAAAAAAAAAAAAAAAAAAAAAAATTAAATTAAATTTAATTTAAAAAAAAGATTTAAAATTAAAAAAGGATTTAAAATCAAAAAAGAATTTTAAAATTAAACTAGTATTTCAATGGCGTCTTAAGAAATATAGAACTATATAAACTTACGCAATCTGAAATCAACGCGTACGCTAGATTTGGCGCGCTGTTAAATGGGCGCGTTTCCTAGATTTGGCGCTTTTGAGCATACATTTTCCCTGCAATTTTCTTACGGTCCTCAAAACAGAATAGTACTAAAAATTTTGTACTTAATACATGTGAAATATACGTGCTATTGTACCGATATCACACTGCATTTTACGTCTACCCGTTAAATTCCTTCAAATAATTAATTAAACATTTTTTTGATATAATTGTTTTTCGGATCTTCCGGGCGCCCATGTTTTTCATTGTGAGTAGATACGGGCGTTCGTTAACAAAGATCCATTTTTCGCACAGTAAATTTTACAGTGGGAATAAAAATTTTAATTAGAGCTAAAAATTGGACACATGATAGCTTTATACCTTACTTAATATCATGCACAGCAAAACTATATTTTAAATTAATTCAAAACAATTTCAGATAGAAACACAGTATGTTGAATATATCGCGTCCGTATTGCATAAACTCAATTTTATTTGTAACTGCCATGCATGAAAAGAATTTTCCGTAAGTTTCATGTATTAAATGGTCCATAAAGAATTTTCAGTCGAAGTTTCATGTTTTGGAACATTAAGTTTTACGAACTGAAGAATAAATTCTTCATAACAAATATGACAAAGCTTCTATGGCAGTTTTTTTTAATATAAATTTTATTTAACTACTTCTAACATTTTATAAATTTTATGTAAAACTTATTAATTCTATTTACCTATACAACACTGCATTTTATTAAAGAACGCAAGAGGAATGGTTGCAAACTTCGAACAAGCGAATAGGATAAATCCGCTGTGTTACCAGGTTTGAACTATTATCGCCAAAGTTGGCGATGTTTACATTTACCGGGTTCTCTGCGGAAGTGCTTCCTCTTCTGTGTTAACTGGAATTTAAGACAAATTTTTTTTTTTTTTTTTTTTTGTTTATCACGTTTAACAGAATATCACAGTATTTTATCTAAATGTGGCAATAAATCAAATTCTTTTTGCGATGAAAACTTTAAATGTCCGTTTCACTTTTCAAACTGTTGCCACCAAATATTATCGCCCTTTATTATACTTAAAGAAATTAAACTATGAAGAATCTGTATAAATATATGGAGGTTTCTTGCATTATGATAAAACAACGGTACCTGGAGCCATTAAATTTTGAATAACTTACGTCTCCAAACGAATATGGTCATGTGCAAGCCCAAATTCGGAATATGTTTTATTATCTATTCCATATTTTGTAACACTTTAACGAATTTTTGATTAACAAACTCAACGATTTCAAAGCCAGCAGTGGCAACACTGTAGAACAATTTTTTTTTTCTTCCAGGGCCCGAAACTGTGTATTATCGTAAATTCTAAATAGATTTCTTTTTTAAAATATTTTGTGATTTTGCCGTAGAATTTTATAGTTTAAGCGGGAAGAACATGATATTTAATAAATAATGGCAACACAAAACGTTAAAAATACGCCCCTTTAGGCGTAATATAAAATCTAAAAAGCTTTCAGATTTTATTTCTTTTTTAAATATTTTTTTGGGGTGTATAATTAGGTATACGAAAAATTTATTGTTTTCTTTATGAGCTAAGAAGGTTTTACCTTGTCTTATATGCAATACATTTCCTCAAAAGATAAACTAAAAATTTTAAAATATTTATTCAATTATAACAACTTATTAACACCAAGTCAAGCACTACAAATACCTAAATTCAGTAAGCACACGAATTACTTTATTTTCCGGCGAAATGTATGAATTTTACAGCAGTGATATTCCAGAAATGCAGAAAGTAAGAACTGCGTAAAAACGGAAGCAGTGTTCATTAAAAACACGACACTAGTTTTAAATAAAAATCGATTTAGGAAATTATAAATGCGGACAGTACTTAAGACATAAATAAGTATTTTATTCATTCACGAAAACTTATTACATAACAAAATTATTATGGATTATTAATGAAATACGAGTTCAGCGATATTAAGAATTAAGACATTTGAGAGCTGCTTGCAATGGAGTTACAACAATGCAAAATCTTAAATTTACAAACCATTAAATTAAGTTTTAATCAAAATTCCATTGTTGGTAATTTTAAGTGATTTATTATTGTATACACTAAAGACAAAATCTTAGCTTAAAATTTTTTAAAGCTAAAATTTCTAATTTTTTAACTTCCAGATTTAAGTTAAATGACACGCACAGATACATGAAGACATTAATTCTACTGCCTACAAAATTATTTAGAATATTATACCACATACTACATCAAAACTGCTTCTTTTTTCATTAATTTCCTTTACGTAAAGTAAATACCATTAACGGACGCAATCCTTTCAGCTAGACAATTCAAATTTTGATAAAAAAAACCTAATTAATGAAATAATTAAATTCTTTTCGATACGATTTTTTTAAATTGTTTTTTGGGGAAAACTTGCATTTCACACAGCTGACTTTGCTTACACTACTACTTCAAACATATATCCATTTTACGACTGGTTCAAACCACGTTCAATCAGAATTTGAAAATATTTTAAGATAGGCCATTTTTGCTTGTTTTTGAAATCGCACAAAGCAAATCGAAAATTATAATTAATTCATGACAGTAAAATCTTAAATGATTTTAAAGTTTCATCTCGTTGACAGCTATACATTTTTAATTGCTAAATAAATAATAATCAGAACATTACATACTACTAATATGCAATATCAGAATATTACTACATTCAATAAATTCGTAGTCACGTACTAATTAAAACAGGACATATTTCCACTTTTGTTATTACTGTAGATTTTTTAAATTCAAATGCTGGATGCGTGAAAGACGTTTTTCGTTGGGCTCCACCTTCTTTCCACAGATAAGAATATTTTTTTCCTAAATAAGATATCAAGATTGCGAAATGACATACACACATATAAATGTCAACTTACCAACTGTGCACAAGGTTTTTCTGGTGTAAAATAAACGAACTAAGTACTATCCAAGAGAAACACCAACAGCGAATGCAACGACTCACAGTTCTCTCGATCAACTGCCACAGGAATGTCAGTAGCCGGTATGTCCAATTTCAACTTTCGGCGCCGACTAAGCGTTTCAGAAATGGTTGTCTAGCAAGTTGGCGTTAAAGCACCATATTTGGCAACTTCTCCGAACAAAGTTAGTATTTTTTTCTAAACGTGTTAACAACTAACGTAGAATTCAGATTACATATACTAATTATAATTCAAATAATAATTCAGATTATAAATACTACACTTACTAATTATACATGCTAATTCAGATTACATACTAAGACAGGACTTAAAATCTGCCGAAACCCATCGGAGCTGAGCTTCGGTAGTTTCCAATTTATTTGAGTATAATTCTAATTCTAGTTAAGTAAGATAAAAATCTGCTATTTTAATTTATTACTCTCATTAATTTAACTACTCTTCCTTAATTTAATTTCTTGTTTATTTATTTTCACTTTAATTAATTTTATTATCCATTATTAGGCCAGAAGGGCTATTAGTTTCGTTTTGCATTTTGCGTCGAAAACTTTAAATGTCCGTTTCACTTTTCAAACTGTTGCCACCAAATATTATCGTCCTGTATTACATTTGAAGAAATTAAATAATGAAGAATCTGTATAAATGTATGTATGTTTTTCGCATTGATAAAACAACGGTTCCTAGAGCCATCAAATTTTGAATAACATAATCCTCCACCGAAGAGGAGCATCTGGAAGTCTTAATTAAGAATTTAGAATTTGTTTTATTATCAGTGTCATATTTTGTAACACTTTAACGAATTTTCGATTAACAAACTCAACGATTTTAAAGCGTGTAATGGCAACACTATACGGGAAACAAAACATTTTTATCTCCAGCGCAAGAGACTGTGTATAGGAAATTCTAAAGATCTGCTCATTTTAAAATTATTTTGCAATATTGCTGTTCAATTCAATTTTATGGCTTAAGTGCGAAGAACATTATATTTAGTAAATAAAGGTAACACACAAAACGTTAAAAAAACGCCCTTTTGGGTGAAATGTGAAATCTGAAAGCTTTCAGTTTTTTTTTTTTTATTATTATTATTATTTTATTTAATTTGTTTACTTTTCTTGAGTAAAACAATTTTTGAAATTAAATTGCAATAAATAATGTAAAAGGATTCATGCTACTCAAATTCATCCTGCTGAAATTGCTACATAGATTTAATTAATAAATAATGTAAAGTAATAATTTTAACTAAACAGGCTTGGAGAAATGGAGGGGGAAAATAAAGTAATAATATTGCAATTATTTAAATTATAAAAATTTTAGAAAAATCAAAATGGGACTGCCAGTGAAAAAGATAGCAAAACAAACTTTTAAAAAAGGAATAATGAAGAGGAAAAACATACACATGGAAAAAGATTTTTTATTTATTTATTTATTTATTTATTTGTTCACTTAAATTGAACCAAGGCGCTAATTAAATAAATAAACAAACTTTTTCAGTACCTTCGAAAATTAAACGTGCCTCCTCTACCAAAAAAAAAAAAAAAAAAAAAAGGCCTCTGCACTTCAAATTAAATGCAATATGTAACGTTTTATTAAAAACTATACAAAGACTACAAGGTATATAATAATCTGGGACTTAATTTATTAGTTCAACTGACAAAATTAATAAAAAATATATTCGCATCAATTAAATAGACAGGGGAAAAATAATTACGGAAAACAATGTAGAAGAAAAAGGAACTTAGAAGCTGGGATGGTGGGTGTAAGTGATTATGGAAAAACCTCTAGGGTATCTGCCTAAGGAGAGCCTTCGTGGAGAAATTTCTAAGGTAAACTGGCTTGTATACACGTTACACATTAGCAGCTGGGATGAAGAATGCCGTTAGAAATTGGCAGACTCAAAGGATCTGAGAGGAATGCAGTTAAGCTGCCGTAGCCTACTATTTATCTCGCCATGTAGAAATAGCGAAATAGGCTGTATAGAAAACATGTTTTCTCATCAAACACAAATTTTTAACTTGTTTAGCTGCCCAACTGGAATAGTGGTTAGTGACTCTGGTTACTGTACCGAGGGCCCCGGGTTTGAATCCCGGAGAAGGCATGGTTGTTTGTAAATGTATAGTGTCTGTGCGGCATGGCTGCACTCTAAATATGCGGCTGCCGAAAGTTCTCTCGAGATGTTGGTGATAGGGAAAGAAGGTTGGGAGAGCCTAAGATCCGTCCCCTCGGGATGTTCTTCTTCGAAAATGAGGGCGGAACTGAAGTCGAACTGTCACCTGTATCGTGTCTAAGACTCTTGCCAAAGATAATCTTGATTCCTCACCACGGTGAATTTCGTGGAAATCATCTAATTTCAGACAAACGAGATCAGTCACAACAACAAGAACAAACTTTTGTACGATATACTGATAAATTACTTTTTCCCATGCAAAATAAATAAATAAATAAATAAAAATTCAATTCCCTCCCCCCCAACCTCCCGATATCCAATATTTTTTTCTGTTTTTAGTACAAAGAGACTTTGTCCCTGAAGGACTATTGTTTTCATTTTGCGTCGAATCACTATAAATGGCGTATCACTTTTCAAATCGTTGCCACCAAATGTTACAACCCTACATTATATTTAAAGAAATTAAGTAATGAAAAATCATATAAAGAAGTCAGCATAAATGGAATTCTAGCGTTATTTTGTATAGATTGCATGCAAAATAATTAGTCACACTTATGAAACAAGCGAAGAATGTACTAAAAGTCAACAAGAATTGAAAACCAATGCTTAAATATAGTATGATCACTTGTCAAAAGGTATGCATAATTGTCAAATATAAAGAAATTGGTTTATTATAGAAAGTAAAAGCTTTTTACTTCCTTGTACGAAGTAAAAAGGAAGTATTGTAATCGCGAAAAGTTTCAGGCAGTATATTTCAACGAAAATATCCATTTTGACCCCTATCGAATGCAATTTAAGGATGTTTTTGCGTGATATCTGTACGTAAGGACAAAATAAAATACTCTTTTTCTTCAAAAAAAATTATAAAACTGCTTTAAAATTAATTCTGAAGAGAATTTTTCGTGGCGTCTGTACGAACGTATGTACGTACATACGTACGTATCTCGCATAACTCAAAAACGAGTAGCCTCAGATAGTTGAAATTTTGTATATAGGATTGCTATAACATGTAGATGTGCACCTCGTATTTTGGTTGCAATCGGCCGCCCCAAACGTATATAAATATATTTATATATATATCCACTCTGTTACCCGGCTCAGTGATCTCAGTTTCTTTACTCTTATATGTTTGTAAATTGTACATTTTTTTTCTTTAAAAATGATTGAATTATATTGTTTTTATCTTCCGGTTAAGGATTTTATGCCTTTAGTAAATCTGCGTGCAATATTTTTAGAATTATCAGCAATTTTAAAGTTGTTTAATTGCCGCTAAGCCTGTTTTTAATGGCGGCCATTGATGTTTGTTTACATTTGAAACAGGAGACTAGTGGATTTGTTGCCAATCTAGAGAAACTTAGCTTCGCAACAACAAAGATAACGCATTCATTTATTATTGCCAATTAAATCATGCTTAATTCTTTCTGGAATTTTTTCGAGGAAATAAGCGTTTGAGATTTACTTCGTAATTTTTAATATAGATATTTTGAGTTTCTATGTATTTTTACCTTCTCGCGAAGTGAGAACTGAATTAATTAAATGAGAAATACTCAATCGTCTGTGAAAAACTTTTTTTTTTTTTTTTTATTATTTGCTTAATTTCTTTTATACATCATTCTAGCTATATTATAGTATTTGAATAGAACATGTGGCAACGATTAGATAATTCTTTACAAATATATATAATAATTCTGATATATTAACTTTGCAGAGACATTGTGTTATTTCGATGCTGGAGACGTGAAAAATGAGCAATGGCCTTGTCGGGACTCGAACCTGGACGTCTCGAATACGCACCGACTGTGCTACCGTTACACCACGAAGGCATGCATAACGGAGGGAGAAAATACCTGATATACTTCCCCATTTAAAGGGCGACTGCGGATTAAGGGAACGCCATATCCTGGTAGTGAAGTATCATCATCCACCACCTTTTAGTTTGTGCGCCACTGTAGAAACATTAAGATATTTTGGAACAGGGGACGTAAAAAATAAGCAATGCCTTCACCGAGACTCGAATTTGGACCTCTCGAATACGCGCCGAGTGTGCTACCGTTACAACAGGAAGGCATGCAACTTCAAGGAGAAAGTGCCTTATAATTAAATATAGCTTCTGAACCTCAAACTATAAGTGCATAAAGATTTAAATACTTTCATTATCTGAATGTATTTCAGTATCTCAATATATCGTCTTGTCTTTCAATAGCTTATCTTTTCATGAAGTGGAATGCTTTCAATACCTTAATATGTTCCAGTTAAAGCGATTGATAGTATATGAATTCTATCGCAGTTTCTTCTATTTCTGGCAAATTTCCCAAGCGCATATTTCAAAATTCAGCTGAAGACCAAAATATCCCAGTTTACCTTCGGAGCTTCTATTGCAATCAAACAGCATATTCAAAGTTACTGTTATCGATATGGTTACCTGAAGAATTGTTATGAGCATAGTTTTCCCAGTCTGGAGAATTCTGAAAATTTGGCGACTTCTACCAAAGGTGGTTGCGATAATACTTAAAAATTTAACTCCCATCTGCTTAAAAATTTAGTTCCAATTCGAGTGGTGGAAGCGGGTTATGTGGATAGATTTAAAACTCTCTCTTAAACTCTCTTTCCATTTTAATTGCACTTTCTACCTCTCGAATCCACGTTATTATGTTTCTACCTCTCGAATCCACGTTATTATGTTTCTACCTCTCGAATCCACGTTATTATGTTTCTACCTCTCGAATCCACGTTATTATGTTTCTATCTCTCGAATCCACGTTACTAGCTAAATATACAGTTTGGTGGTCTTTGATAGCAGAAACTAAGTCCAAACTCTGTGCAGACGTACAGCGAATTATCGTTGTTATTAACAAACTGATATTATTAACAAAGACTTGAGAAGGTTAAAAGAAAACTTTTTATTGCAGTAGAATATTGAACATAAATTGGACTTCTCGTGTTCATATAATCAACCACAACTCGTGGCGCTGTAACTTAAACTAACAACTCGCCAAAGAAAG